CAACGCTGGCCATAAACCTACCATCTCCAACACTCCACTATAAAGGATGAAATTAAGCCCGCCCACCAACAGCAGGGTGCAAAACCTAGCCAAGGGGAGGGAATAATATAATAGGATAATATTTGTATACATATATTATAAGCCGTAAATTACAGAGCCTCATAGCCTAGTCAGTAGAGGCACGGTATTACCAAGCCGGAGGCGGCAGGTTCGATTCCCGGTCCGGTCGAGGGAATCTTTTGGGTTGGAAATTTTCTCGACTTCCCTGGGCATATAGAGTATCATTGTGCTTGCCACACAATATACAAATTCATACATTCATACATCATACATTGCATCGAAAGCTCTCAATTAATAACTGTGGAAGTGCATTTAGTAGAACACTAAGTTGAGAGCACGCAAGAAGAAGAAGCCGTAAATTACCTTAAAAACATAAAATTAGCTTGAAGCACCTCTAAATCATCGCCGATTTTGCTGAAAATTTGCACAGTAGTTCAAATTAACATGACGAAAAGTAATCACGGTTGACCCGGTGCATCCCGAACATTTCTGTTAAAATGAACAGGTCTAATATACACCCTATTCCGTCTTCAGAACTGACCGGTCTGCCCTAAACAGTCAAAAATCGCCTACGCGTGCTAAAACGTCAACGCTCTGCCGCCCTCCAAAAGTATTGTAACTCTCGCTCGCCGTACAACAAACGACTGTTCAATTTTGCGAGTCGTAGTTATCGAAATTACAATTTTTTTTTCTCTATAATCGACATGTGAGACGCACGGAAGCGAACCTTCACACGAATCCGAAAAGTTTTTGGTCGTTTGTCAACTCCAAACGGAAGGAATCCGGGTTGCCTTGTTCCATGTTTTTCGGGAATGGCTCGGCTAATAGCGAAAGAGAAAAATGCGACTTGTTTGCTCGTCATTTCAAGCAAGTGTTGCACGATTTCTCTGCTTCGCCAACACAAGTGCTGGACGCTACTGTTGGGATGCCACGTGTTGTGTTTAGTTTCGTTATTCCGCGCATTTCAGAAGACATGGTGATAGCTGCAACAAGCAAACTGAAGCTCTCGTTCACCGCCGGACCTAACGGCTTTCTGTCATCAGTTCTAAAACGTTGTGTAGCCAATCTCTGCCTTCCACTTGCGAGGCTATTCAATCTCTCGGCACAGCAATGTGAGTTCCCCTACCGCTGGAAACTTTCTTATCTGTTCCCAGTGTACAAAAAAGGAGATAAACGGAATGTCATAAATTTTCGTGGAATCACCTCCCTGTGTGCCTGCTCAAAACTGTTCGTGATTGTCATAAATGGTGTTCTGTTCGCACGCTGCAAAAATTATATCAATACAGAACAACACGGTTTCTACCCGAAGCGCTCCGTGTCCACGAACCTGGTACAGTTCAGTTCTAACTGTCTGCGATGCATGGATTCAGGATGGCAAGTCGATGCTGCGTATATGGATCTAAAAGCTGCATTTGACACGGTGGACCATAATATCTTGCTGGCCAAGCTGGAGATTCTTGGCATCTCGTCAACTGCTGTGGATTGGTTCAGATCTTACTTGGTGAATCGCTATGTACATGTCAAGATTGGCGCGTTGGAATCGGATGTTTTCTCTAACAACTCGGGAGTTCCGCAAGGCAGTAACCTAGGACCACTACTATTTTCGATCTTTTAAACGACGTCGCCTTGCTGATACCATCAGGATGCCGCGTTTTCTGTGCAGACGATACAAAAATCTACAACATTATTAAAAAGCATCTCGGACTGCTGGGATATCCAGAATATGTTAGGTATTTTTGCTGATTGGTGCTCAAGAAATTTGATGAGTCTAAGCATAGAAAAATGTAACATTATTTCCTATCACCGAATAATCGAACCAATCATGTTTGACTATGTTCTCTACGGACGCTGTCTTGCTCGTGTAGAGCACATAAAGGATCTCCGCGTTACCTTGGACTGCAGACTCACTTTCAGAATCCACTACAATAACATCATCTCCAGAGCTAATCGACAATTGGGCTTTATTTTCAAAATTGCCGACGAGTTTCGTGACCCGCTATGCCTCAGGTCACTTTACTGCTCGCTTGTGCGATCCTTATTGGAGTCAAGTTCAGTTGTTTGGTGCCCTTTTCATGCTAGCTGGATCACTAGAATTGAATCCGTTCAACGCAAGTTTGTGAGATATGCTCTTCGTTTCCTCAACTGGCGTGACTCAACGAACTTGCCACCGTACGAGGAGCGTTGTCGTCTCCTGGGAATCCATTAGAGGTGAGACGGACGGTCGCTCAAGCTATGTTCGCTGGAAAGCTGCTTACGGGTGACATTGACTGTCCAAATATGTATGCCCTTGAGAGGTCTCTTCGTCAACGCGACTTTCTGTTTTTGGAACCACGGAGCCGGAATTATACACAACACGAGCCAATTGGAGCAATCAGCCGGCAATTCAACAACTTTTTTTTATATGTTCGACTTCAATGTATTAGCTGACGTGTTTCGTTATCGGCTACTTGGTCTTTCCCGTACCGTTGACCGTAACTATTTAGTTTAAGTTTTATTCATTTGGACAATAATTCTTGATAGAGCTGGAATTAGGGCGTAACAGCTTTTGTAAACAATGATTTCTCGAAACTCAAGGCACGCCCACGCAAACCAACATAACCAACTGGAAGGAGAAGTCTTGCCCTACCCGATGGGGACGTTGATTTGAGTGGGCGAGCCTTGGATTTCTAGAAATCATCGAGAGGAGTCATTGTTTATAAAAGCGGTTACGCTTTTATCTGTCGGTTTGTAATAATTGACTTCGGATCAAGACGATGGAAGGTAAGTAATAAAAATTCCTGGAGAGTGATTCAATTTGCATTGAAAAAATTAAAAAAAAAACGTCTTCTTATCATATTTTATATTTATCTTCCAAAACTCTATATCACTGCAACTATACTTTGAACGATTCTGTGACACTACCCACCGGCCATTCGGGGTAGTAGGGTATTCGGGGTAATGGCCATTCGGGGTAGTAGCATTCGGGGTAACGGCGTTCGGGGTAGTGTCACAGAATCACTTTGAACTTATTTCGTTTAACCCGTTAAGTACCAGGACGAACGATTTTTTTTCAACAAACTCATCCGATTTTCACAAATTTTGGTTTTTATTCAAGGGGAATAGTTAAACTAACTGTTGTCGTAGGTACCGCCCCCTTAGAATCCTCCTCGTTCTTGGGAGATGCAAATATGTCTGTGTTTTTTTGTACTTTTTTAACCAGTTTGACCAAATGTTATAAATTTTCACGCGAATCGGTTGTCTGGTGCAGCAAATGATATCAGATAGATGAAATATGATTAGTAAGACTGAAATTAGGTACACTCTAGTCGCTTTTTACGCGGGGGATACGTGCCGCGTAAAAAAAAAACTAACGAGATTTTGATTTTTCACATGCTTAAATATTTTTTTATAAATCGGATTTTGCTGCCATTCGTTATTATAGCATGCTATGGTCCATATAGACATATTTTAAAAATTTCTGTATTTACACCAAAAATTGTGATTTTTTCAAAAGTATGCAATTCGATTACCTATAGTTTGAAACGGATAATGTGATTGGAATCAAGTCGATAGGTCGTATCGTTGTCGAGAAATCGTTAAAAACGTACCGCGTAAATTGCGACTCAACGGCACTAACCGTGTAAAAAAAAACCGCGTAAAAAGCGACTCCAGTGTATTTCCATAACGTATGGCTACGATATTATCGGTACATGGAGTCCCGGAAATCGATTCTGTAGGACATAGTACTATCTCTGGCAAAAGTATCTTGTGGCATGTCAAATCATGTCAAATAGGTAGAATCAAGTGAATGAAGATGATTTGTGATGATTTTGGCCAGTTTGACATCGGTTCCGGAACGCGGATCTGTGAATTCCGGCGAACGGTTTGTTGGAATATAATTTCATTGAGGTTATGATATCATATTATGCCAAAATGGCAAGCTATGATCACTGAAATCAGGTTGTAGTGTATCTGATGACACATGGGCACATTGGCATCGGTTCCGGAGAATCCGTGGAATCCGGTTTTATATCCCATATTCGCGGTATAATAATCATGTTGCATAACAAATCATGTTAGCATTATAAGATAAGGTCAATAAAGATTATTTGTGGTAATTCCTTTGGCATATGGTCACATTGGCATCGGTTCCGGGATTCCGGAATTTATACCCCACAAATAATAATTATTGGTAATTATTGCGGAATCTATGAAATGAACCTCTTCCTAGGTCAATTTCACTTTTGTATTTTTTTTTTCAGTTACTTGGTGCAGAATAATGATCCATATACATATATACAGCTGTGTTCGATAAAATAGCAGCGCATGCCGATTTTCATACAAAATGGTCAACATTGACATGATGTAACTTTGTTAACTTATGATCAATTGAGCTGAAACGTTCGCGAAAGAACTACAAATATTTTCAATTTTACGATTACAAAATATTAAATTTTTGGAAGCACCTGCCGAAAAGTGAGACACTAGGTAAAATTGTTCAAAATAATAGCAATTTTGATTTCAAGTTTTGTGTACTGCAAATATTTTAAACATTTTTAACTATTATGTACATTTGTTAATTGGGTGGGGATTGTTAGAATTTTGAGAAATGTAAAATTTAAAATCTCAAGTTATTAGTACTGCTATTAATTTCAACAATTTTACTTAGTGTCTCACTTTCCGGCAGGTGCTTTAAAAAATTTGGTATTTTGTAATCGTAAAATTGAACATATTTGTAGTTCTGTGGCGAACGTTTCAGCTCAATTGATCTTAAGAGAACAAAGCTACAACTTGTCAAAGTTGACCATTTTATATGGAAATCGGCATGCGCTGCTATTATATTGAACACAGGTGTAAATATAAAATATAGTGTAAACATGTGTGCTCTATAACCCTATGTCAAATAAATGTAATGACGTAGCAAACCTAATTTTCCTCTAATGTAAACGGTGAACGGGCACTACACGGTACAACAATTTTGTTTCATCTTACCTGCTGCTGAATTCGTTTGAACTCTTTCGGATTGGTATTTGGGGGTACGAATTGCATTGCACTTTCGATTTTTACGGGCGTTGACGAATGCGTTGGTGATACTTCCGCTACCCACTACCGAAGAAAGAAAAATAAGAAAGAAAATATGTGTAAGCGACAAATACCCTGGTAATAAAGGTTACTATAGTAAACCCTCTTATCCTGGGAAAATATGACTAAGGGATAAGTTGTACTAACGATTTGTAGAAATGTATAGGAAACAATTTTGCATTATGTCGGTAAGAATGTTATAGACCGTATTAGGAACTATAATAATCTGTGAGAGAAACATACATATTTACATTTTAGCACATTAAAAGTCTAATGAAGGAAAACTAGCTTTTACCAAATGATCTCATTTCCCCCCGTGATACACTAAATCATCTTGTAAGCAAAAGATTTTTTTAACATGTTATGGTGCAACTACTGAAAATGCAATTAATGTAATAACTGAGAACGTAAACATGTAATGCGCTTTTCGTTCCATGTTTACGTGACCCTTAAGAGGAATAACATTGCGGCCTTTAAGTAGGTGAAATTGTTTGTTTCGAAAGTGAGAGGACGCCTTTGGGAGCACTTCAAAGGTTGCACGGTGTCAAATAGGTTAAATTCTATAATTGTCTTGGGACACATTCTACCAGGATGTATTCACGATTTTGCCTGATTTTTTTGGCAGTGTTTGTAGTGTAACTGAAATAAATGAAAAGTTACCCCCAAATATTATGCAATTTTGGAAAATGTGATAAATTTACAATGAGAATTGACCAAGCGTATATGATTTGCATAGCTCAATATGATTTGATGAGCGACTATGTTGCGTGACGTAACAACGTTTTGCTACTACTCAACACCTGTAACTTTTCACCAAAACGTTTTGAGCTACTCAAATCGGAAACTATCGATCAATTCACATGGGAAATTTAACGAACTTTTCCAATCTGTAATAATATTTAAGGGTTTCTTTTATTATGTTTTTCAGTTACAGTAGGTACAAAAACTGTCAAAAACAAGAAAAAAAACGTAACGTCACGTGGAAAGTGTCTTTGGAATACCATAGATGTTATTAGTATTGTTAATTTAGTGCCCTCAAATGTATGTGAAATATCTTAGATAAGATACTTATACTAACCCTTTATTGAAGGTTAGTTTTACGTAATCTAGGTAGTTAGAATAATATTTGTCGCTGTATTTAATTTTCTTTCAACGGTAGAGGTGAGCGCGCAACTGAGCAACATAACATAATTTGAAATTAGTAATAAGATACTACCATATTTCCAGAAGAAAAAAAAAACATAAAATTCCGATGCACCATTTTTAAAATTATATTATTAACCCTTTCCTTCCAAGAAGATTGATTCAAGAGGCAAACATGTTATGAGAAGAAAAATTGTTTCACACAGTTTAAATATGCATATAGAATTCAAAAAAAAAGTTCAATTTCAATTGATTTTTGTTTTTTTGATAGCTGCTCTTTTTAAATAACAAGAATAGATATGAAGGAGCAACATGAGCGCATATAAAAGCTTATGTTAATGCTGACTTTAGAATCTGCAATATGATAAACCGAAAAATCGTGGATCATCTGTGCTACCATGGGAAGGAACGGGTTGAATAATGTTAGTAAGAATTTGATACAGTAAAATAAAAATTAACCAATGTACCATTTATGTGCAGAACTTAAGTTTCTAGTATAATATTTTATTCCAATAACATAACATTGAATGTACTTCGAATGAGCATTGGATTTTTGTTACCTCATCAACGTTTGCATCAATCCACTAAAATAAAATAAGGAGAAAGAAAGATGTTGTAAAATCTAAATATACTAATTAACAAGGTAAAAAATATATATAATTAAAAAGGAAAACAGGGCCCTTTCAAAACAATTAATTGATACTATAGAACCATGTTTTGCTCCGAGAAGTTAGATTTTATTGAGAGTAGTATTTATAGTACATAATAAACCACTTATTTTACTTAACTGGAATTTTCATAACGCGCCATATTCTAACTTCTTCTAATAGCTTCTATGTATTAATCTTCAGCGTTTTTGGATTTACATTCAAGCGTATGCCTATTATATTAACCATTTTTATAACAAGTTGTGGTATCTAGCAGATAAAAAAATATTGATAAATATTCGCATTCGCGAAACATTCACTACGTAGACAGTTGGGGGGGGTGGGGGGGCACAGTGGTCGGAAATCCCAATTTGGTGAACTTAATTGTTTTGTGGTAAAACCATTAACTTAATCCAAAAACTGTCTTCAGGAGAATTGTTTATAAAAACATTGCGCATATTATGACAATTACCAATATTTATCATGGCATACTGTGAAAAAAATAAAAAACTAACTTTTTTTGCAAAAGAGATAGAAGGGTAGTTTTTCAAGCAAAGTTGTAGTACTTACAAAAATATGGAACTTTGTTGAAGACACTAAATTTGTATAACGAATACTTGTAAAGATATGAAGCGTTTTTGGTGAAAACCCCCTTAAATTATGTTTTTTAAGTATAACTACAGTTTTTGAAGTAAACAATGTTCTAGAAAAATGTAAACAACATACAAATACATGTTTTTGCTCAAGACAGTATGTAGCTAAAATCATCCCTTTCAAAGTTATAGTACTTTTAACATTTATTTTTCCTTAATTTCAGCTGCATATAGGGGAGAAGGTGGCAAACCGAGACACAGCACCAAATACTCTTTTTAAAGCTTAGACTCTGTACTACAAAGTAGTGAAGGTTTGGTTAGCGCCAATTCATAAGTGAGTGAATAGGGTCACGTTGAATGTTCACGTGTTTGGCCCTTTTTATATGAAAATAACCCTGTCTCCTCATTTATGGACGGTAAATTACGGATTATAGAAACAGATATTATCAAACTCATCCGTGAACAACAAGGAAATTTGTTGTATGTAGGCTTAACAAAAAATGATTAATTTATACAAAACATTTTCTAAGACAAGCACTTTGTGTGCTTAGCTTACTCCAGTTGTCAATATATATGTTGGTTAGAAAAAAGTGAAATTAAAGCGGTGGTGCAAATTTGTTCCAACCGCATTCTTCGGGGGAATGCAGTATCAGCATTGACAAAGAGCCAAGGAATAAAAAATATCTCCAAATTACAAAATGACAAGCGATCAACGAACCGAATGATAACGCAATGTCAGAAGTGGAAAGCAATAATGATATAATCTTCATCCTTCTTTTTCATGACAAGCAGCTCGGGCGACACAGCTCACTCGGGGCAGTAGAAGGAAAAGAGCAAAATGTTGGCAAGCTGCTTCACGAGTAAAACCGAAGATGATACACGTGTGTTAATGGGAATGTTTTTTTAAGTCTTTTCTCAATTCATGTCCTTATCCGTGTTTATTGCAACAAAGCAGGCAAGCAATATTGCATTATCCTTCTACCACTCTGATCGAGCTATGTTAGAGAGCGAATTTGTCATGGTAGTCGTAGCAACCGTTTTGTTTGTATCTTTGGTTGCTTTATGTGTTTGGATTCGCTGCATAGAGCTGTTAGTTTACACGCTGCATTAGTGTTCGGGAGATCTTGGCTAGTCTGCTTTAGCACATCAGCTTCAGGCACACTTATTGTTTGTTCTTGTTGTCATTCTCCAGTAGTTGAACTAAAAATGCTTTGTGTTGTGGAGCGTGCAGAATAAGTGTAAAATCAACATGGCCTCTGATAACGCAGGTATGTTTACAATAGAAAAAAATGTTCTGAAAATGATCCGATTTGTTTATTTGTTATTCACTGATGTATAATTTTGAAACTTTTGTAGTTTCGATTGTAAAACGGGAATTATTCTCAATCTGGCGGAGTGCCGGTGGAGATTTAACAACAAAAATTAGCAAAATATACGAGTTTGTTGCTGATTTGTATAGAATAGAACCTGATATCAAAACCGACGTGGCGAAAGAAGTTGAAGAATGTGTGCGATATTTATGCAAGCGGTTCCAAGAAATGTGGTTGAAGCACAATCGAACTGCAAGCAAGGTTTTAGCGGCTCATACTAGTTTTATGGATGAGTCGTTTCAATTGCCACATCATGTTCTAATGAAGCTACCATCATCCAATTCTGGTATGAACTCACAGCGGAGCGAACGTGGGCGTAAAACGTTGTCGTTCAAGGATAGTTCTGAGGCCGTCAAAAGAAGAAAAACGTTTGACCTTCGAACGACATACGATACAGAAGATTTACTTTATGCAGCTCAAATGAAACTTACAAATACTAGGCAAAAAAATGTTGCGAAGTCATTATTGCAGGATAAACCCACAGATTCCATTGTTGCATACAGCCCACTTGACGCGGTTGCCTTGATTGTGGATCTGAGTCTTAGTAAGCATGAGTACAACCAACTGCGAACACAAGCCAAGAAACGAAATTCTAATATTTACCCTAGTTATGACAGAGTACTTGAAGCTAAGAAAACCTGCTACCCACAGGAGAGCTTTTTTCTGGTTGGAGAAACTGTAGTTGAAATTCAGTTACAAGCATTACTTGACCACACAGCCAAACGAATCCTGGAAGGTTCATCACTCAACAGTTTTTCTGATTCAGAGCTATTGAAGGTTACCCTGATTGTGAAATGGGGATGTGACGGTAGTACTGGTCACAGTCAGTACAAACAAAAGTTTGCCGATGATGAGAATGGAACTAAAACAGACGCAAATGTTTTCTTAACGTCCATCGCTCCTGTCAGGGCTGAAGCTGACTCAAAAATTTTGTTTCAAAACCCTATACCATCCTCAACAAGATACTGCCGACCCATACGAATTCAGTTGGTTAGTGAGACGACTGAAGTTACCCTCAGAGAAAAAGAGCATGTGGATAATCAGATCCAAAATCTTCGGCGAACGGAATTCGAAATCAATGGTCGTCGGATCCGAGTCAAATATAGGCTACATATGACCATGATTGATGGAAAAGTTGTTAATGCTGTTACGGCCACCAAATCAGCACAGCGATGTAATATTTGCAAGGCTACACCCACTCAAATGAATAATATTCAAAATGTTCTTTTGCGACCAATCGATGAAGAAGTATTTCAGTTTGGATTATCAGTTCTCCATGCAAAAATCAGGTAATAAAAATGCAATATAACGCTGTTCAATCCATTTAAATTTGACAAATTGCTACAGATTTTTCGAATATTTTCTACACCTGGGCTACAAAATAGAAGTCAAAAAATGGAGATGTTCTGGACCTGATGCCGAAAAAGTTAAAGTACGCAAGCAGCTTATTCAACAACGCTTCAAACAAGAATTGGGACTTCTTGTTGATATGCCACGCGGCAATGGAGCCGGCTCTTCAAATGATGGGAATACTGCGCGACGTTTCTTTGAGAATGCAACAGTTTCTGCAGAGATTTTGGGTGTCGACCTGCAGGTTATTGAACGTTGCTCAACTATTTTGCAGGTCTTGTCTTCCGGGCGAGAAATCAATGCATCTAAGTTCAAGAACTATTGTCTAGACACAGCTCAGTTGTTAGTAACCCTATACCCTTGGTTTTACTTGCCCGCCACAGTCCATAAGATTTTAATGCACGGATCAGACATAATTCTCCATTTCAATGTTCCTATCGGACAATTGTCTGAAGAGGCACAAGAGTCTATAAATAAAGTCATTAAAAGGTTCAGACTAGATCACACTCGAAAATCATCACGAGCTACAACAAACGGTGATCTCATGCGGCGACTATTAGTTTCTTCAGATCCACTTATTGCTGGTTTGCGTGTAAAATCTCAGAAGAAGGACAGAGAGTTTTCCGAAGATGCACAGTTTTTGTTAGATTTCTCAGACAGCGAAGAGGAAACAGATGAAGAGTGAAACTTTTTTTTTTGTTATTATCTTATCTTCTCAGAACAATTATTATTGTTAAATTATAGATAAAACTACCCAACAGCAAGATAATTGTGATCTTCTTGACTCACGCGGATAAATGAAAGTGAAAGCCAATTTCAAAACCATTTTTAATCCAAACAACCTGCAGACTCTTCCTCACACGCGCACTTAAATGGATACATACAGAAAATTTCCTTGTTGTTCACGGATGAGTTTGATAATATCTGTTTCTATAATCCGTAATTTACCGTTCATAAATGAGGAGACAGGGTTATTTTCATATAATAAAGGCAAAAACGTGAACATTCAACGTGACCCTATTCACTCATTTATGAATTGGCGCTAACCAAACCTTCACTTCTTTGTAGTACAGAGTCTAAGCTTTAAAAAGAGTATTTGGTGCTGTGTCTCGGTTTGCCACCTTCTCCCCTATATGCAGCTGAAATTAAGGAAAAATAAATGTTAAAAGTACTATAACTTTGAAAGGGATGACTTTAGCCTACAGCCTACGTACAGTACGTACCCCCGTACAGTTTTTTTTGGGACTATGCGGGGGGGTCCCCCTCCCCTTGCGTAGACAATTGTCCAGACACATTTTTTTTTATTTGTATGGGCCGTGGATAATTGCAAACCCCCTCTCCCCCACCCCCCCACAGTGGTCGGAGATGCCAATTTAGTGAACTTAATTGTTTTGTGGTCAAACCATTAACTTAATCCAAAAACTGTCTTCAGGAGAATTGTTCATAAAAACATTGCGCATATTATGACAATTACCAATATTTGTCATGGCATACTGTGAAAAAATAAGAAAACTAACTTTTTTTGCAAAAGAGACAGAAGGGTAGTTATTTCAGCAAAGTTGTAGTACTTACAAAAATACAGTGACAGATGACAGTCCCTTATCATAAATGAAAAGAAGAATGT